AGGGAAGAAGCGCTTCCAATCATTGTGCTTGTTAGAAATGGTTACCTCCAAAGAAACACGTGCAGCCATCATCGCTTTGCATCAAAATGGCCTCACATGCAAGGAAATTGCTACAAAGAATATTGCACCTGAAAGAACCATTTACCAGATCATCAAGAACTTCAAGGAGAGAGGTTGGACTGCAGTGAAGAAGTCTTCAGGATGTCCCAGAGTGTCCAGCAAGCGCCAGGACCGTCTCCTCCTGAGGAGTCAGCTACAGAATCGTGTCTCCACCAGTGCAGAGCTTGCTCATGAATGGCAGCAGGTTGGTGTGCAAGCATCTGCACGCACAGTGAGGCCAAGACTTTTGGACAACGGCCTGGTGTCAAGAAGGGCAGCAAAGAAGCCACTTCTCTCCAAGAAAAATGCCAAGGACCGTCTGAAATTCTGCAGGAAGTGCACCAGTCTTCTGCTGTCCAATCCTTGTAAAGTTATTTTCTCTGATGAAGCTCCCGTCCGACTGTTTGGGACATCTGGAAAATCGATTGTTCGGAGAAGAAAAGGTGAACGCTATCATGAGTCCCGTGTTGTGCCAACAGTGAAGCATCCTGAGACCATCCTTGTGTGGGGTTGCTTTTCAACCAAGGGAGTGGGCTTTCTCATAATTCTAATGACTCCATAATAAATACGAATTTGTGATATTGCAAATGACATTGAGGAACAGATCATTGAGAAAATTAGACGAAAGCGCTTTGCACTTTATAAGTCGATGAGGCCACTGATAGCAACAAGGACAGTTGGTTAATAGCTTATATGCGATTTGTTGATTTTGAGTCACTGAATGAGGATTTACTGTTTTGCAAATGCATCCCAAAAAGAGCCACGACTGATTAACTTTTTAAGATTATAGATTCATACTTGACAAGAGGCTGGGATTAAATGGGAGGACTGCTTGGGAGTTTATTTACAGGATTTATGAAAGCGCAGTGGACACTCTGCATTATACATTGAGAAGCACTTGCATCATGGCAGTTAAGCCCTACGTTAAATAATGTTTTGTCTGAAGTTATCACGGTCAACTACATCAAAACAAGACCACTGAATTCATTACTTTTTTCCTCGTTCTGTGAGGAGATTGGCAACGATCGCACTGTTGGCAAGATGGCTCTCCTGCAGCAAAGTGCTGTCCAGAGTGTTTTAGCTCCGGGAGCAAATTCAAATTTTTCTGCAGGAAGAAGGTTTGAATTAGCTTGCCAGCAAGTTTTGTAATAAACAATTTCTAATGAAGCTGGCATATCTCAGCGACATTATCTTCAAGTTGAATCAACTATACCTCCAACTGCAGGGCAGAGACAATTACCTACCATATCTGGCAGACCAAGTCAGCTCATTCATTTGAAAACTGGAGATGTGGGGCAGGAAACTCGAGCAAGGAAATACAGAGTCTTTTGAAAATATAACAACTTTTTCCAACAACAGTGTGCAGTTTGACTGGGTGAGAGATCCATTCACTGCTTCAGATGACTCTAGTATGAGGCTAAAGTTCTCATCACAAACACTTTCCCACTGATAGGTCAGAAGACTGTTGAAATTCTGCTCCCTTTTGCAACGTTAGGACTCTCTGCGTAAAAGTTTTTGAGAGAGGTCCACGTGTAATACTTATTTCATATGAAAAGATGTTAGCCAATCATAGCAATGGTCCATTGAAGCCTAAAACAGGCACACCCTTTCCAACAGAGCGTTCAAATCGGAGGGCTATAATCAGGGTAAAAAAAAAAAGAATTCTAAATTATGGCAATTTTTGATGTAAAAATCATAGTAACATTATAAGTGCACGTCAGGAAACATCAAATTAAGAAATGCCGTTCATAACTCCTTTCAAATAAACAGTGCAAATATCCCATCTTCCTGGCCAAAGACCGTTTACACTATTTGAACGAACAAATTGACAAAATTGCCCAATTTCAAATTTGTGTTTTCCCGATCTTGACAGACAAGCGATATGCATTCTAGCTACAGGGTGCGGGCTAAATAAATAAATCTAAATAACATAAAATAAAGACACAGGGTCTGCGTTTTTTGCAAGTACAGATGAGGTGATGCTGTAAAATGCTATATGTTTTCACCAGCTTCATCTTCTGCGTTTTAATCTTAGATCTCTTCATTAGTCTTTTTCGCAGAAACATTGACCAATAAATGTCTCGTCACATTTTACAGTAGTTACCATAGACTGTAAAAAAAGATGAACGATGTTTCTCCACTTCCTTCCACTACAGAAAAGTGAAGCCAAAACATCTCAGTATGGCTGCTGTCATCTTGCAAAAATGATGTAATTTGGAGCCAGAGTCTGCACAGTAGTGATTCATTTTTTTTCTCTCTACCCAAACGCAGGGCTGAGCCTGCTCACTGTAAAATCTGGAAACCAGTTAATAGCACGTTAATTTCATTCCAATCATATTGCATGAACTCTGAGAAGATAAAAAAAATAAAATAATATACAAGAGATCGACAGAAATTGATGTTTTTTTAGAACGATACTGATTATTTGTATGTTTATATGGCCGAGAACTGATATTTATTTTTTTCACTTCTGTTTTTGAACAACAGTACTGAACTGTACAAACATTTTTATATAAAATGGTCAATACTGTAATTTCACTCCCTCCTTGCAAACAAAACAACTCTTATTTCTACATCAATAAACAGTGTTGGGAGTAACGCATTACAAAAGTAATAATAATACAGTAGTATATTACTTTTTGCTGTAACGCAGTAATATAACGCATTACTAATAAAATGTGGGTAATATTATTACTCGTTACAATCCCAGTAGTTATCCAGTAATCCAAGTTACAACAACATATTTTAACTCAAAATTAAGTGGTGAATTTACCAAAACCACAAAACGGCACCAGAGAAAAAAATCTGCGGGTAAAATAGTTCATCTATTTCCTGTTGCTGGAATTAGATGGTTGAGATGACTGCAGAGATTAAAAAAATAAAATAATATACAAGAGATCGACAGAAATTGATGTTTTTTTAGAACGATACTGATTATTTGTGTTTATATGGCCGAGAACTGATATTTATTTTTTTCACTTCTGTTTTTGAACAACAGTACTGAACTGTACAAACATTTTTATATAAAATGGTCAATACTGTAATTTCACTCCCTCCTTGCAAACAAAACAACTCTTATTTCTACATCAATAAACAGTGTTGGGAGTAACGCATTACAAAAGTAATAATAATACAGTAGTATATTACTTTTTGCTGTAACGCAGTAATATAACGCATTACTAATAAAATGTGGGTAATATTATTACTCGTTACAATCCCAGTAGTTATCCAGTAATCCAAGTTACAACAACATATTTTAACTCAAAATTAAGTGGTGAATTTACCAAAACCACAAAACGGCACCAGAGAAAAAAATCTGCGGGTAAAATAGTTCATCTATTTCCTGTTGCTGGAATTAGATGGTTGAGATGACTGCAGAGATGGATTCTACATTTGTGAGAGAGACACACTCCTGTTATTTTCAGTTCATCGGAGAAAAGGATAAGAATGCATAGTTGGGTGCAATATGTGCGACACCAAACTCTCCTGGAGAAATAGCACGAGAAAAACCTGGAAACACCTGGACTGATGCCACTAACACTAGCTATCGGAGAGAGCTGCGGGGTCGGAGAAGAGAAAAAGCGCAGACAAGCAACAAAAATTAAGTTTAAAAATAACAATCTGTTTTTATTAAATCATAGCCTATATATAAAATGAATGATTGTGTGAAATATTTGAATTAAATAGCAGCATCTCTCATTTTCGTTTCGTTTGGTTAATCTGTTAATTTGGCTGAGTTTGGTTCTATTTGTGTGGCGTGGCGCTCTACGAAAGTCCACGGAAAGGAAACCAAGATGACAGAAATAAATAAAACATTGCAGTTTCGAATGATCTGTATGACCAAAAATTACGGAGTATTTTTTTTGTTGTTTGTTTCCGCTGTTTGATCGCACCGGCGCCTCACAATACAGCATTGCAAACGTTGCAGCCTGTTCATTATCATAATAAAATAGTCAACCAAACATATAGATACACTGGCTAATTTAAATAGTGCGTACTGCGTACAATCCGTGCCGTTCAGCCTGAGCTCGGGCCAAACACACATTTGCTCATGTGACGAGGATGTTTTTTTAAGCGCGTCAAGTAAGCCTGGTTTACATAATAAATAATAGTTTAGCATTCAAATACATTGCAAATATGGACACATTTAATTGGATTAATGCCGAATGAGAGAGGTAGGCTGCGCGACAACGCTGTTTGCTTTTAGTTTCGCATTGAATTAGCCTCAGTGGCGGATCCAGGATTTTTTTGTTGGGGGTGCTAAGAGGAGGGGGGGCTTAACAGTTCAGAGGGGGTGCTAATAAACTAATTAAATTGTGAGATGGACACAGATCACATGTGACGAATTGAGTGCTGCAGTTTGTAAAAGTGTGCATTTCTTAAAGGCCACATCTGTATCGTCGAAATCCAAGGAAAATTGTTTTTTCTTTTTTATTAACTAGTTGTGTACTATATTCCATAAATTGAACAAAATAATCTGGTCACTGTGTATCTGATGAATTTTTCTGATTGTTCTTTCCTCTTCAGCTACGGTGATCATTATGAGTGGAATAAAGCAGTCACTTGCATCCACAATGTGTTCAGTCAACAGAGATCGCTCGAGCACTATGGTGACATCGTCATTCGTAATCTCAACAACAATGAGTGCACCTGCAAGATCACATTTGTCAAAGTGAGTTTTAGTTGTTTTTGTATTTCTTCACTTACACTATAAATATTCAGTCATTATTTACTCACCCTGGTGATGTTTTAATGCTGTATGACCTTCTTTCTTTTTCAGACCACAAAAGGAGCTTGCACTCCATGTCATGGAAGTTAATAGTGACTAGCTTCAAGCGTTAACAGAAAAATGTAAAAGTATCAAAGAATAATCATATACAACTTGTGCCATAAGTGTTCTGAGGGCATCTGATAGGATCTGGTTGTAGGCCTGGGCTGTTGGTCTGTTGTACATGACTGAACGTTCATATTAGCAAAGTGCACAAGTGCACAGCTTTGAGTAATCTAGATTTATCTAAACAAAACATAAATGCTTTTGGGGGTTTTCTGAGTGTCGTGTTTTAAGTTTGTGTATATAAGTGTAAATAAGTTTACTTTCTTCTCCAAGGTGAATATCTCCAGACTAGAATTCCGGTTGTCAGTTGACACATGTGAATGTGAGAACTTACTTTGCTGTTGCAACAACAGAGATATTCATTAGAGAATAAAGTAGTGCATAAATTTCTAGGAGCTGAGAGTCACGTTTTGTTTTAATTTCTCAAAATGTTTAAATCAAATGATTGAATCAAGATTATTATAGCGCAGAAATCCAGATTAGTTAATCTCATTCAAAGCAGATCGGCCAAGGTTGGGATTTTTTGCTAAATTACAGATTGAAATGTTTGCTAAATAATTAATATAAATTATATATTTTTTTGTTTTTGTTTTTTTTTACCAAACCTATTATGTACCTTCAGAACACTTGTAACCCATACATTTGATCAATCTGTGATACTTTTGAATATTTTTTTTTTTTCTTGTGAAAGCTTGAAGCTGGTCACTATTCAGTGCCATCATATGGACCAGCATACGCTTTTTTTATTTATCCTTTTGTGGTCTGAAAAACAAAGGCATTAGAACAACACCAAAACACAAGAAGTGTTTTTTCCCTTTTTTCCTTTTTCCCTGACCACTGGCACATTCTGCAAGAAAGATTAATAAAGTCAACAGATTTTACGGTAACTTTAACTAACATTAACTAATGGAACTTATTATAATGTATTAACTAACATAGCGTAATAAACATAGTTCATTGTTAGTTTATTAATCTTTGTTATTGTCAGTTAATGAAAATACAGTCGTTCATTGTTAGTTCATGTTAATTCACAGTGCATTAACTAATGTTAACAAGCAAAACTTTTGATTTTAATAATGCATTAGTACTGTAAATGTTGAAATTAACATTAAATACAGAGTTCTGCCATGAAACGGTAGATGGCGCAGTCAGATAGGTCTAACTCAATCTGACCTAATGACATCGTTATCACTTGGCACAAGTGGTTCTCCTGTATCGGTAGCCAATGAGCTCACTGCTCAACATTCAAATATATATATATATATATATTCAAATATATATATATTCAAATATATGACTAGTGCTTGCCGTAGCAGTTGCAGCTTGCTTCTGAAACCCTCCACCATCTGCTACGAGGTGATACATGAAGTAACCCCTATATAGCATACATGAATGTTATATTTGCAGCAGCAATATTTCTTACATTGCTCACAGCAGCATGTTGTGGATGTATTGGCAGTAGCAAGTCTCGGTACTTGCTCTGCCGCAGCAGCAGCAGATCTATTCCGCCAAGACCAAATACATTAACATTGTCATGTACATTACCATGCCAATCTCTCTGAGAGTTGTCATGACAGAACTAAGATTAATAAATGCTGTAGAAGTATTGTTCATGCTTAGTTGATGTGAACTAAAGTAGTTAACTAATGAACCTTATTGTAAAGTGTTACTGATTTTACTAATAGACCTACCTATCTCTGTGTAAAAACAGTGATGCTGCCTTCTTTCTGAAGTCATTATTACTCCTCTAATTTGGCTCTGAATCTCAGGTGAAGCCCAGATCTCACAGCCCAGCAAAGCTTTCTATACAGTGTAGTTCACTACATAGAAAATAATCAATGTTATGCTGGTAGTAAAACACAAAGTGCTGCACGTTTTATTGGTGCACAGATGAGTATGTTTTTGTACAACATTTGCAACTGCTTTTTATCACTTAATTAGAAGCACCACAATTAATAAATTGTGTCGTAAATCTGTTATAGTGACTACTGAACAGACATTCAGAAGTTTATTTTTAAATGCAAAGTATTGAAAATCAAAATAAGCACTTGCATTTTTACAACACTACAAGTCTACAAGTGTGGGTAATGAGAAGTTCTACATACGCTTGTGATCACAAGTGTAGGTAGAACTTCTCATTACCCAATAATTTAATAATTTATGATGTATTTCCTGTATTTGGCCCAAGTGTTCAAGTAAGCAGACAAGTGGTCAAGTACGAAGACTGCAAATGTGGGTATATACCCCACTCTCTAACTGCTCACCACTGCTGGGCGGGAGATCAGGTAGAGTAAGAACTGATGTGTTGTAACTTGCACCTGATCACCTCCACAACATCACAATGTGGAGGCAGTAAAACAGGAGTTGTTTGGCAGTGTCAATATTTGTGGAGGACACTGTAAAACCAAGAATCTTTGTACAAATTAAGACCAGATTTCCAGCTTTACGTAAAATCGTCACACGTCTATATAAACCTAATGTAATTCTCATTTGTCCAGTCGCGGTACTGGGATGACGAAAACAGCAAGAATGAAGTGCAGGGCACTGTCCTTGACCGTGTTGGCAGAGTGCTTCACCGCTTCGGGGGATCATGGCATGAAGGCATCTTCTGTGATACACTTCCCAACCCACAATGCATTTGGAAGCCCAGTAAGTGACCATGCACACAATATTCTTAACCAATTTACATTGTTTAGTTGGATGTTTAATTAAATTGTTTCTATCATAATTCACAGATCCTCAACCAGATGATTACTTTGACTACTATGGCTTCTCCCAGTATGCCAGAGAGCTCAATGAACTGACGCCTGATATAAAGGATAAATTGCCCCTAACAGACACTCGTTTCCGTCCAGACCAAAGGTATGTGTCCAATAATTAGAGAGAAAACAATCTATTTGACCTTTTGCACTGTAATTTATACTTTCAAAACCTTGGCTGAAGCATCATTGCCAGTAAATAATTTGTAAAGATTGGTGTCAGCATCACCTTTCTCTAACAGTTGTACTAATTTTTATTTACATGAATGTTATATTTGCAGCAGCAATATTTCTTACATTGCTCACAGCAGCATGTTGTGGATGTATTGGCAGTAGCAAGTCTCGGTACTTGCTCTGCCGCAGCAGCAGCAGTTCTATTCCGCCAAGACCAAATACATTAACATTGTCATGTACATTACCATGCCAATCTCTCTGAGAGTTGTCATGACAGAACTAAGATTAATAAATGCTGTAGAAGTATTGTTCATGCTTAGTTGATGTGAACTAAAGTAGTTAACTAATGAACCTTATTGTAAAGTGTTACTGATTTTACTAATAGACCTACCTATCTCTGTGTAAAAACAGTGATGCTGCCTTCTTTCTGAAGTCATTATTACTCCTCTAATTTGGCTCTGAATCTCAGGTGAAGCCCAGATCTCACAGCCCAGCAAAGCTTTCTATACAGTGTAGTTCACTACATAGAAAATAATCAATGTTATGCTGGTAGTAAAACACAAAGTGCTGCACGTTTTATTGGTGCACAGATGAGTATGTTTTTGTACAACATTTGCAACTGCTTTTTATCACTTAATTAGAAGCACCACAATTAATAAATTGTGTCGTAAATCTGTTATAGTGACTACTGAACAGACATTCAGAAGTTTATTTTTAAATGCAAAGTATTGAAAATCAAAATAAGCACTTGCATTTTTACAACACTACAAGTGTGTCTCATCGGGTAATGAGAAGTTCTACATACGCTTGTGATCACAAGTGTAGGTAGAACTTCTCATTACCCAATAATTTATGCCCACTTGATGTATTTCCTGTATTTGGCCCAAGTGTTCAAGTAAGCAGACAAGTGGTCAAGTACGAAGACTGCAAATGTGGGTATATACCCCACTCTCTAACTGCTCACCACTGCTGGGCGGGAGATCAGGTAGAGTAAGAACTGATGTGTTGTAACTTGCACCTGATCACCTCCACAACATCACAATGTGGAGGCAGTAAAACAGGAGTTGTTTGGCAGTGTCAATATTTGTGGAGGACACTGTAAAACCAAGAATCTTTGTACAAATTAAGACCAGATTTCCAGCTTTACGTAAAATCGTCACACGTCTATATAAACCTAATGTAATTCTCATTTGTCCAGTCGCGGTACTGGGATGACGAAAACAGCAAGAATGAAGTGCAGGGCACTGTCCTTGACCGTGTTGGCAGAGTGCTTCACCGCTTCGGGGGATCATGGCATGAAGGCATCTTCTGTGATACACTTCCCAACCCACAATGCATTTGGAAGCCCAGTAAGTGACCATGCACACAATATTCTTAACCAATTTACATTGTTTAGTTGGATGTTTAATTAAATTGTTTCTATCATAATTCACAGATCCTCAACCAGATGATTACTTTGACTACTATGGCTTCTCCCAGTATGCCAGAGAGCTCAATGAACTGACGCCTGATATAAAGGATAAATTGCCCCTAACAGACACTCGTTTCCGTCCAGACCAAAGGTATGTGTCCAATAATTAGAGAGAAAACAATCTATTTGACCTTTTGCACTGTAATTTATACTTTCAAAACCTTGGCTGAAGCATCATTGCCAGTAAATAATTTGTAAAGATTGGTGTCAGCATCACCTTTCTCTAACAGTTGTACTAATTTTTATTGCAGGTTAAGAAACTGACTTTACACTATTTGATACTTAAAGAGAAACTCCACCCAAAAATGCAAATTCTCTCCTCATCTCATCACCTCGTTCATTACTTTCTTTCTACAGATGTGTGATGTAAGCATGTTTTGAAACTTTGTGTAACAGTCCTTAGTGCTTCTGCATCGTCTAAAGAAAATCAGTCTATACATCTGGGACAGCATGTGGATGAGAAAGAAAAGAAAAGAGAATTTTCATTTTTGGGTGGAGTATACAGGGATTAAAGTTCTGTCGCTACAACGGATTTCCGTCAGTTCATAAAGACAGTCAATTGCTTCATTCCTGAATGATTCAGCCGTTGAACGAATCAATTGAATGAATGATTCAGTGATAAATATAAGTGACTTGCCGCCACCTGCTGGCGGATTTAGTTTCATTTTCAGCAAATAATTTCAGTTATTTAAATCATATTTCTGTATTCCAAATTTTATATTTAAAACGTTAATCTCCACCTGAATTTATGAATTGAATTGCACTCATGCCTACCTCTGAGCCTCATTAAACGTGGGCTAAAACGGAAGGCTAATTTTTGATCAGAATTTTTGATTATTGATCAGAAGGTGCTCCTAAATTTAATTAGGAGGACAAGCGCTCCTAATTACAAGAAAAAAAACTGCTCTTAAACTGGGTGTGTGACAGGTATGGGGGTTTGGTCGAAGAAAAATTCAGTCAAAAGATTTTTTTTTTGCTTTAACCCCTGCAATATAATAAGAAGTAGAATAAGACAAATAAGTTACCAATCATATGAAATTAGTATTAATAAATTAATTTGTACTACAGAGGTGGCACAGAAGAACACAAAAGTGGCTTGTAGGTACATTTTCAGATGTTTAATGAGGCTCAGAGGTAGCATGAGTGCAATTAAATTCATAAATTAATGTGGAGATTAATGTTTTAAATATAAAATTTTGAATACAGAAATATGATTTAAATAACTGAAATTATGCTAAAAATGAAACTAAATCGGCCAGCAGGTGGCAGCAAGTCACTGATTTTTTCACTGAATCATTCATTAAATTGATTCGTTCAAACGGCTGAATCATTCAGGAATGAAGCAAGTGACCGTCTTTATGAACTGACGGAAATCCGACGTAGCGACGGAACTTTAATCACTGAGTATACCTATAAGGTTTTATTCATTGTAGTTGGTATACTCATTTCAGTTATCAAAGTTTTGTAGTTTGCCATTTTGGTCAAATTTACCTGAATGTCATTATTTTAGTGCATATAACATAGCAAGTGAAGATATTGAGATGTATTTGTGTTAGCTATTTTTTTAACTTATAGGCTTCTTGAAGATGGCAAAGTGGAAGAAGCCGATAAACGTAAAGATGAAATAGAGGAGAAACAACGTGAAAGACGGAAGGCAATGACCAAGAGGGGTGAAGAGCATGTTCCACGTTTCTTTGTGTGAGTCCCAATATTTATTCTATATTTCTGTTTCTAAAATCTGCTGGTAATCTGAAGAAAATAATTCATCCTCAGATTTATAATTAAATATGTCAGAGGACCACATATGTTAATGGAATATATTCTGCAAATAATATAAATATTTAAAAATAGCCATGAACTTCTGCATATTCAGAGTGAATCAACATAGATCATTCATGAACTAATAAAGTGTTTTAAATAAGGTATTTACAATTCCAATGTACAAATATTTCATCAGAAAAACCATAGATCACGCTGGAAGAGAGGTGTGGGTGACAAATGGAATCTATTGGAAGATTCGAGAAAATCCAGGATTTGCCAGCACTGAAAATCTGGATTTGTGGTGTTGAAATTGAAGTCCTGCGATTTGTGACATCCCAGTATTCTGTTAGCGAAACTCATGAATTTTGGCATGTCAGTATGGTTAGTGTATGTATATAATTATATTTTATATAACTGTTGTGAATTTTAGAACAATCAAAAGACTTAACTGGCAATGTAGGAATGGAGTTTTGGTGCTTTTTAATCTAAATTGTGATATTCCTAAAGCCATACATCTCTCATTTTTAGTGATGATTTAAAAATAGGTTTGTGTTAATCAAAAATACTCTCCATATTATGTGTAATGAATAGATGTCTTAAAAATATACTTTTTTTGTTTTGAAGTCTTTTTTTTTTTTATTGAAAGATGAGGCCTAATGTCAGGGATTTAGGAACCTCCCAGACAGTAATGGACTTTGGGACATTACACTAAAGGACATTTACTGATCATGTATTAATCATATATATATTCCATCTTAGCTAACTATAGTGATTTAGTACAGAATGTTTCCCATTCCAATAGACCTTAATGTGTAAATAATGCATGTCTATACTGTTTGCTGTAAGTTGTTTTTTTAACGGATGGATTTAATTATTTCTGATAGAAAATCTTGCATGATCTCACTGTATAAAATAATTTGTGCTAGGAAATTCCTCAAATTAACAATGAAAATTACATCTTTTTGGATTTTCAACCAGATCTGCTGAAAATATTTTGGTGAAAAGTGTAATCGGGTTGTGTGCAATTTCTTGTATGAATGCATTTCCAATCAGATGAGACTTGAATAAATATTAAATTTGAACACAGGTTTGCACTTGTATTTGCCATGTGGGGGGGAGGACGAAGGGTAGCTCTGGAAGATGGTGACATCACTGAATCTTCAATGAATTGACTTAAGCTGGAAAATGGCTTTGTTATTGTCCTCTTGCATTATTGACAAACTATTTTCCTATTTGACACTATACAATACAGATTGTCAAAGCGCTATACAAATAAAGGTGACTTGACTTGATTTGGAAGCATAAACTGAAAGGAGGAGTAATGACAGTGGAGGGAGAGAGGACTAGGCCTGGGGCAATTTATGTTTGTGTGCAGCAGTCAGCTGTGAAGCAGCTGCTACTGCGAAGCAGCTGCTACTTGTTTGAGGTTATTTTGTCAATTAAAAGTATTTCCTGCATCCTCCTTCATAATTCGCTTCTCACTTCATTACAGCTATTGTAAATAATTGAAGTTAAAGATCTTTATTAAAATGTGTATTGCAGCATAGCAGTTGCACCAAAGATACTACATGTACTTTGCCACTGAGTAGCATGGGCAAACGGGACACCTCCGCACCCAGTGTATGGTGGGCCCCGTCGCAGGACATTCTAAAAGGCATTCACAAGTCACACACATGTTTTTGATTGGAAAAACACAAGTCAGTGGAATTTGAGGGGGAGTTGCAAGGTATATGTTTTTTGTTTTTTTTTACTTTTAAACTTATTTTGACTAGAGCGCCTCGTTTTTAGAATGCCATGTCATGCTCAAGACACTGTAGAGCGTAAAGTGGAGTGGAGTGGAAAAGCGTGTGGAAAAACTCACTGATGGGGCTTAGTTTAAACCAGGACTAGGCCTCAGTTAAATTAAGATATTTAAGCAGCTTTTATAAAAATGCCTTAGAAGAAAACGTTACACGTGTGCATCTTGAGACTGAAAATATCTTGCTCTGACATATCTTTAAAAATGTCAGTTCTATTGTTCTGTTGACACCGCTCAAACATGCATTTTAATCTGGGACTAGCCTTAAAACATGTCTGAAACCGGGGATTAATGTTCTAAAACAACAACCAGGTCAATTCAATTTTCTCTCACGTTTCACTTGTGAACCTGTGCAATTAGTGATGCTTATGTAGGCCAGTGTTTGAACTGAGACGTGTTCTGGCCATTAACCTACAATAATTTTATTGAGTTTACAGTAAAATAAAATATGTAGAGCGGGGGCCTATAACAGATGTTTCTATATTATTATTGTTGAAGGATCCTCAAGCATCAGCCATGTGGAGCTCTGTTCCTTTTTTATATGTCACTGTCATGTTGTATTTCTGAAGTTTCAGCAGTTTTTTTTTGTTTTTTTTTAGTTTTTTGGAGAGGAATGCCAGCAAGGTTTTTTTTTTTCATGATCATTTCAAAGTGATCTACTGTCAGTCTACTGTGAAGTGTCTGTCAAATGTGTACTGCTAACATTTTTCACATCCAAATACAATAGTTGCCAATTCTTTTTCAATTTGTGCCCAGCGCTTCTGTGTTCCAGAAAATGCTTTGGAAGCAAATGCTATGGGGCAGTTGGTTCGGTGTAAGAAAAAGTAATGAGGACATTGAAGATCTCGATGAAGATGCTTATTACAGCATAGCAGTGACAAAATACATGTAGTACCTTGGGTTCAACGGAGTCAGAATGAACCCCAAACATCCTAAGCTCAAACTTTTATACACTTAATGTTGAAGTTGCTCCTGTTGTAACAGCTGTGGTCTGTATGTTAATTAAGTTCTGGCACCCCTTTGTCTGAGGTGGTTCTCAGTGTCCCACACCCGCTCCCATTCTACAATTGGTCACCATTTTCTCAGGATGTGATCATCCCAAATGGTCTAGAAACAACATAACTGTTGACTTTCTTCTCTATAATAATTAAGCCATTTTTGGAAATGAGCATGATCAAACATATTAACAAATATATTGTGGAGTGGAATCTGGGTCAGGGCATGGATAAAAAATATAAATAATTAACATATCATACAAAATTGCTTTGCAGCATATCCTTTAAATTTTAAGGTATTCAGAACAGAGCAACATAAAACGCAGCTATAGGACAACGTTTTACATATATGCCATTATAATTAGTGTTTTATTTTTTAACTGTACGGAATTATAAAATAAAACGCAAATTATAATTGGGCCTTCCATCAATTATAGTGATGAAAAAATGACTGGCCATCTCTAAAGGCACATCCAATTAGGAGATAGGGCTAATAAAATACAACTACCACTACAACTGATTTTAATTGTTTTCTATGCTCCAGATCTAATAAGAGACTAATGCTCTCTTCTATTGTCTGATTCAACCAGACGTGCCTATAAGCTCTTCGCTGATTGGCTTGCGCGAGAACGCGTTAGGCGAATTTTCCGCTCGAGTTGAAATTTTTGAACTTGCGCGAAAGACGCGATAGAGGCGAATATCTCGCGTTCGCTGAAAACGCGTCGCGCATTTCGCGTCGCCTGGCGCGAATTCGTCTCTATTCGCGTCTTTGCATTGACTTTGTATGTAATTTACTCGCGCGAATAATTAAATTCAGCAAGTCACCTATGTAGCTTACTACTTTAGTTTGAATGTGTATTTCCCTGGATTTAGTTTTATATTCCTTTTTCTGATGCGCTGCATTACTTTGTCCCATCTCTCATCATGCTGCTGCTCGTTCTCCCCCCAGATCAATGTCATCCACAATCACTTCAACACCTTCAAAGTCTTCAAATGTTTGGCTGTCAAAAATACTAGAAAAGGCAGTATCCTCTCAGCTATGTTCCTTCTTAAAGAGAAATGGTATCTGTGAGGATTTCCAGTCAGGATTTAGACCGTATCATAGTACTGAGACTGCTCTCATTAGAGTTACAAATGACTTGTTCTTATCATCTAATCGTGAATGTATTTCTTGATTACTGCTACTGGATCTTAGTGCTGCGTTTTACACTATCGACCACAACATTATTTTGTGTAGACTACAAAATTATGTTGGCATTAGTGGAATTGCATTGGCATAATTCAAATCTTTCTTATATGACCATCATCAATTCGTAGCTGCGAATGACGAGGTATCATATTGATCACAAGTACAGTATGGAGTACAACAAGGTTCAGTACTAGCAGTACTAGGTGCTTTTTACACTTTACATGTTACCCTTCGGAGATATCATCAAGAAACATGCTGTTAGCTTTCACTGCTATGCTGATGATACTCAGCTCTATATTTCTTTGCGGCACGATGAAACATTCCAATTCGCAAAACTAACGGAATGCATAGTTGATATAAAAAGCTGGATGACTAGTAATTTTCTACTGCTAAATTCTGAAAAAAAACCCAGAGGTTTTAATTATTGGACCAAAAACCTCTGAATGTAATAACCTAAAATACTGTCTAACACTTGATGGCTGCTCTGTTAATTCTTCGTCATCAGTTAGGAACATTTTTCCATCTTAAAAATATATCTAAATTACGACCAATGATATAGGCATGTCGAGGGGAGTTTTCACCCTCTTAACCAATGAGGATAGGGGGACATATCCATACAGGATGTTTTTCCCAAGAACATGTGTTTTGTATAAAATTGCCACATATACAGAAAAACATATCCATATAAGGAATAGACTTCCTGGCGACAGAGGCTGAACCCCCCTTATAAATCAGCACAAACTCCTTTACCTTGACTATTGAGTAAGAGACATTCAAACACCATACAAGAGAGAGAGAGAGCAGATAGAGGAGGGGTGATTCAGAGAAGGAGAGAGAAAGAGTGAGAAAGGAGGGGTAAGGCATTCTCAAAACAGAGAGTGTTTTCTAACAATCATCTAATCGTGGATGTATTTCTTGATTACTGCTACTGGATCTTAGTGCTGCGTTTTACACTATCGACCACAACATTATTTTGTGTAGACTACAAAATTATGTTGGCATTAGTGGAATTGCATTGGCATAGTTCAAATCTTTCTTATATGACCATCATCAATTCGTAGCTGCGAATGACGAGGTATCATATTGATCACAAGTACAGTATGGAGTACAACAAGGTTCAGTACTAGCAGTACTAGGTGCTTTTTACACTTTACATGTTACCCTTCGGAGATATCATCAAGAAACATGCTGTTAGCTTTCACTGCTATGCTGATGATACTCAGCTCTATATTTCTTTGCGGCACGATGAAACATTCCAATTCGCAAAACTAACGGAATGCATAGTTGATATAAAAAGCTGGATGACTAGTAATTTTCTACTGCTAAATTCTGAAAAAAAACCCAGAGGTTTTAATTATTGGACCAAAAACCTCTGAATGTAATAACCTAAAATACTGTCTAACACTTGATGGCTGCTCTGTTAATTCTTCGTCATCAGTTAGGAACATTTTTCCATCTTAAAAATATATCTAAATTACGACCAATGCTCTCAATGTCAAATGCAGAAACGTTAATTCATGCATTCATGACCTCAAGGTTAGATTATTGTAATGCTTTATTGGGTGGTTGTTCTGCACGCTTAATAAACAAACTCCAGCTGGTCCAAAATGCAGCAGCTAGAGTTCTTACTAGAACCAGGAAGTACGACCATATTAGCCCGGTTCTGTCAACTCTGCACTGGCCCCCTATTAAACAGTGAATACATTTTAAAATCTTGTTAATTACTTATAAAGCCCTGAATGGTTTGGCTCCTCAATAATTGAGCGAGCTCATATTGCATTATAGTCCTTCACGTCCGCTGCACTCTAAAAACTGGCTATTTGATAATACCTAGAATATCAAAATAAACTGCAGGCGCCAGATAATTTTCCTATTTAGCGCCCAAACTCTGGAACAATCTACCTAGCATTGTTCGGGAGGCAGACACACTCTGTCAGTTTAAATCTAGATTAAAGACCCATCTCTTTAACCTGGCATACACATAATATACTATCGCAATTCTATAATTCAGATCCAGCAAAGAATTGTTTGGTTGTATTAATTAGATCAACCGGAACCGGGGACACTTCCCATAACACTCGATGTACTCGCTACATCGTA